AAAAAAAAAAAAAAAAAAAAAATAGAAGAGTACGATCCACCTGATGAAACGCACCATAAAAAATGTGAGCCTAAATACAATTTAGTAAAGTTTTATCTCAAAATTAATCGATGATGGAGGAGTAGCTAGGCTTATATACTAAATTTATTTTTTCCATAGAATCAATGTGGTCAATTCAAAAGTAATATTTCAACTAAAAAGTTGAATGTAATTTATTTGCCAAATATTTTACTTATGTATTGCAACATTTAGAGTGTAATAATTTTATTGACGTTTGGGTTTATAACAAATAATTTAAAACTTTAAATCAACTCTTATTAAAAAAAAAATAAAAGTAACAATATTTATGTTTTAATGTTTGTCAAACTAATTAAGACAATGGATAAATAGTCAGTGTGGGGGTTGTAATTTTAAAATAATGTTTCCCTACCCACGGTGAGCACGTATTAATATGTCCACCGCTTACGTGGCATGCACACATTGGTGATGTTAATATGTTTAAAAAAATACATCATCAATGTGTGTATGACACATAAGCGGTGGGCATATTACCATATGCCCACCGTGGGTAGGGGAACATTCCTATGTAATTTTATATGTCGAATTGATTGAGTAACAGATGACGTCATGCTAATTACTATTTATAATTTTTATCTAACGTTGGAAGTTTGGAACATAAAACAACAGGCTCAAGCCGCTCAACAACTCCTACTATTTTCAATTATAGCAGTAATTGTCTTTAATTTTTTTTTTTATTAATGAAATTTATTAGTTCTTAATATAAATTTTTGATAAATAATTAGCAGCAGATGGTAGATTCCAAGTATAAAACCAATAATATAAATATATTATATAAGGTACACTTATTTACAATATAGGCCTAACAAATTTATTAGGACAATTAATTACTATTAATTTAACCACAGTGGTTGATCTAAAATTACTAAATGTACAATTTTCCAAGTTTCTAATTTATAAGTATTAAACTTGTTTTATTATGAATTAATATTACTAATAAATAACTAATACTTCGTTATAAACTAATTGTATAAAAATTAATACTAAATATAATTAAGAGTAGCATACAAAAATATATATTATTCACAAATTAGTCCATCATATATTTTCAGACTACTCATATTTGAAGGCCTTATAATTTTTAATTTTTTATTTTTGGTTTTGGAATAAATAATAGTCATTCAAAATTAATATATAATTTCATTTGCCAAATATTTAATCAATCTTAAATTATTAACCAACCTCCAGATGATCACAACTAGGGTTGCAAACAAGTCGAGCCGAGTGGAGCATTGGCCCTATCGATCTTGATTGAGTTTTTTTTCTAGCTGCTCGAGCTCGACTCGATATAAAATTAGAAATAGCTCGAGCTCGACTCGAAATCAAAATGCTCGAACTCGGCTCGAAAGTTTTTAAGTGGAAAGGTAAAATTACGATTAAGCACATATGCTAATATATATAAGGGGTATTTTAGTAATTTAACGTGTATCTCGAGTCGCTCGACAAAATAAAATATGGGCTGGAGCTGCTCGAGCTCGACTCGAGTTCAGTCAAACTAGAGCTCGAGTCGAGCTTTGACTCGAGCGCTCGCTAGCGGCTCGCAAGCAGCTGGTTTGCAGCCCTAAGAGCATCTCCAACCGATACTCAAAACCCAAATTATGCAATAAATTTACTCCAACCGAGACTCAAACCCAAACTCAAAATGGGTTTTTTTTTTTTTAAATTTTGGTCTCCATAAACGCAAATATGCGTTTTTCCTATTCACCAACGCATTTGTTTTGTAAAATTACAATATCACCCCATATTACAAATGGCCATGGATATTTCTTTTTATTTTGTTGTAAAAATATGTAACTAATTTTTATTTCATAGTGGATATGAAGCCTATTAATTTGCATCAGGTATGGATTTCTACATAATATATAATATATATTTATATATATATATATGTGAATTTCTAGATACTTAGTTTTATTTATATGAAATGTAATAATTAGATATTGTTTTGGAAACTCAATTTAATTATCAATTTAAAAAGTGGTTGGAAATATATTTATATGATCCTTCGAAAACATTTTTTGAAGTTAAATAAAAAAATTAATTTTAAATATGTATTTCAATATTTTGTAGGTGTACATATTGCCAATCTATAATTTATTATTATATATTTTTTAAAATTGAATATAAGATAATTTTAAGTCTAATTTGAAAACTTATTAAATATGTGGGTGTTATTGAAAATGTGCAAAAGTTGATGTGAGAGAATATTTCGAGAATATTCTTTTGAGTTTGAGAATGAGTTGATCGGTTGGAGAAGAATTACTGTTTGATGTGGCAAATACTGCAAAATGAGTTTGAGAATGAGTTTTTCGATTGGAGACGGTCTAATCACAACAATACAAAATATATTTTATACTAGTAGATATCCTGTGCACATGCACAGATGTACATAAAATATTATAAATAATATTTGAGAATTTAATATTAAAATTCTAGATATTAAACACATTACATTTTAAAAAATGTGATCATTAGGAAAAATAAATTAACGATTTTATTATTATGAACAATTGTTTATTACCATTAGATAATAGCAGTTTGATTATTATTATTATTATTATTATTATTATTATTATTATTAAAAAACAATTGTTTATAAGCTTCTAAAGTTGTTTGATTGTGCTATTAAAACAATTTACTAATTATTTTTAAAGAAATTTTTTCATGAGATACAAAAGAAAAAGATAATATTGATGTTAATATAAATAACTTGAAACAATTGTTTATAATTATGTAATTTATATTTATTGTGAATTATTATTAGTGTTATTAGCAATAACTATTATATAATATAATAGAAAAATACATGGTTACACTTAATAGGATGTGCTAATGTGAGAAGTAAAAAAACATTAATGATAAATTTTGTAACTGAAAATAGAGGGAAAATTTTAGAGGTTTTATTAAATAGATAAATTAAATGCTAAGCTAGCAATTATATATATATATATATATATATATATATGTATATACATATATATATTTTAAAAAAACAATTGTTTATAAGATTCTAAAGTTGTTTAACTATGCTATTAAAACAATTTACTAATTGTTTTTAAAGAAATATTTTATGAGATACAAAAGAAAAAAATAATATTGATGTTAAAATACTTAATTTGAAATAATTATTTATAATTATGTAATCTATATTTATTGTGAATTATTATTAGTTGGTATTAGCAATAACTATTATATAATATAATAGAAACATACATGATTACACTCATTAAGATGTATTAATGTGAGAAGTAAAAAATATTAATGACAAATTTTGTAACCGAAAATGGAAAAAAAATTTTATAGGTTTTATTAAATGTTTTATTAAATGCTACATACCAGCAATTATATATATATGGATTAGTAAAATTTTCATTTTCCAATAAATTTGGTGAGAAAGTCAAATCTAAAAGGCCAACTTGGAAAGATTTTAAAAGCCAAATAAATACAAAATAAAAAGATACAAAAAATAAAATAAAAAAATATAAGAGAGAGAGAGACAAAAATCCACCCTTGTCAACAGCCCACTGGAATTCAAACGAAGCCCATGGTTTTCTTTTTCTTAGTACTATTTTGGTCATAACAAACGGTATAAAGAATCTTATCACCTTTTCATCTCCATTTTTTTTTTTTTTTTTTTTTTGTTATACAAATGCGAATAAATGAAACAAATCACATCTTTCTGCAGAAAACTGCTAATCATCGGTACACAGTTTTAGTATAGAATCCGAGGAAAAATCATGTCGGGTGTCCGATTATACGCATAGAAATAGAAAATTTTCGCTGTTTTCTGTAACCTTTCTCTTGAATTCCTCTGTTTTTTTCCTGGGTTTGGGAAAAAGATAGGACCTTTGCTCTATTTATTCACCCTAACGAGATTTTTGCTGGGACCCGGTTCGCAATTTTTCGTTGTAGCTTGAAATTTCTGTACTGATTTTGTGCCGGTGTACTTTCTAATTTCATCACTGTCAAGAACTGAAAAGGGTCCGTACTTTTTTTTTTTTTTTTCTCTCTCTCTCGAAAATTCTGGATGAAAATGGGGATTGAGCAAAACAGGAGTAGCGGGAAGAATAAGGTTAGCAGCGAATCGAGGAAAAACAAGCGGAGACAGAGGAAATCGTCGCAGGTTCAAAGGCTGTACGAAACTTGCAGGGAGGTGTTTGATGATTGTGGGCCCGGAATCGTGCCGGCGCCGGAGAAAGTTGAAAAGCTTGCAGCTGTTTTGGGTACTGATTGCTTTTATTTTTTTATCTTTATTTATTTCAAGCCCGTTTTTGGTTTTCCAGTTCGTGTTTACTTGAATGTGTGTGATGAATTACTTGGTTGAGTTAAAAAAAAATTGAATCTTGATGGTGGCATTTGAGTGAGAGGTTTTACTGTGTTTGTGTTTTCTTTGTTTTATAGCTTTCTTTTTTTATTTGGTCAATGTGGGATTGACAACTTGTTTTTAGCTGTTTTTCAAAAGGGTTTCTTTTGAATTCTTTTAGTTATGGCTAGTGTTAGGCCCGAGCTATGAATGTAGCACAAGGTACAACACCTTCAAGCTGTTCTTTGCGAGGTTGGGCTTTAAGTATCACTGATTTTATAGCTGTCAACATTTTTCGGTGCTTGAGTTTCTATGCTATTCGAGGAATAATGCCGTTTAGTTCATGCGTCTATTCTAACCGAGCAATTCACTTTACCGTAGTTCAGTTTGAGCGATTTCTCGGTATTTCTGCATTAAACTATGCAATTCTATGAACTCATGAGATACAACACTCTAGTATAGCAAGTGGTTAATATGAAACTTCCTTTCTTTTGGTATTCCGTTTATGATAACATTTCGCTCGTTTTTCGTTTCGAAATGTAGTCCTTATATTTAAACTAAAACTCTAGAAGAATTTCGTGTTCTGGCAAAGTAGGCTTTCGAAATATATCATCGATAATGTTACTCTCTGTGCTTAATGCTATTCAAGATGATATATTTCCTTGGTTTCATGTTTTGTATTTCAAAAATTTTTAATCCATGCAGATGAGATGACCCAAGCCGATTTGGGCATACGGCCCGATATGCCCTTTTTCAGCAGCAAACGAGCCCCGATCATAACATACTTGCAACTCCACGAATGTGAACAATTCTCCGTATGTAAACTAAAGGATCTCCTCAATCCAAAAGAACCCTCGTTTTTTTTTTCTTTGTGATTTATTTTGATCTTGAAATAATTTTCACAGATTGGTATCTTTTGCTTGCCCCCAAAAAGTGTCATTCCACTCCATAACCATCCAGGGATGACTGTTTTCAGCAAGCTTCTATTCGGGACAATGCACATCAAATCTTGTGACTGGTCGAGCGAGTTTGATATCACTAATGACAGCCCAGCAACAGCTACACTTCCGAAAAGTACACTGTTGTTTGAATCTAAGGGTTGATAGTACTTATTATCACATAATGTGTCGAAACTGGCTTGCTTTAATCAAGATTTAACAGATATATAAGTATAAATTAACATAAATGTATAAAAGAAAAAGATTATTCATCCATCTAATTTAATATTTTTTTTTCCTCGAAGGCCATCCGAATAACGAACTACGATTGGCTAAGATTAAAGTCGACTCGGATTTCACAGCTCCTTGCAAGACTTCTATCCTATACCCAGCTGAAGGTGGCAATATGCACCGATTCACTGCCAAGTCAGCATGCGCAGTGCTCGACGTGATTGGCCCTCCGTATTGCGATCCTGAAGGCCGCCATTGCCAGTATTATTCCGAGTTCCCGTTCGCCAGCTTATCAGGTATTCAAACAAATTAAGGGCGTGCTTGGATACAAATATATGTGCTCAAAACGAGTTTTTTTGTTAATCAGTGTTAATTTTGAAAAAGATGGTATGACAAGTTGTTAGTAGAATTTGTATTTATATTAAAATAATATTTAAAATAAAATAATTAAAGTTGATTTGATGAGAAATTAAAAAATAAGATGATCTGAACTGATGGTTATGTAAAATTATGTTAATAGATGAATAGTGAATTAAAGTTGATGTGATGTGTAAAAATGATTGATTGATATTATTTAATTATATTGATAGTATTCAGGATTGGGTTGAGTTGAATAAAGTTGAGTTAGATTTTAAACGAATGTATCGAGTATGAATTGAAAAAATTTGTAAGCAGAAACACCCTCTAAAACTCGTTATCTTTTTTCCTTTTCAAGTTTTTTTACGGTGGAAAATAGTAAAATAGCTTTTTTCAAATTTTACGTTTTTGAGTAACAGGAGATAACGAGAAGAAGAAAGAGGGTTACGCGTTGCTTAAGGAGAGGGAAAAACCGGAGGATCATATAGTCGTTGGGGCACCGTACAATGGACCAAAGATAGCGAAAAAGTGAGGCAAGACTGCAAATTTTTTTTACCCTTTTTGGGTCTTTCTTTTGTACTTCTTTCCGTTAAAACAGGGTGATTTTGTACATACTTTTCAAACAGAGAAGAAAAGGAAAGAAAAGGAAAGAACAAACAACGCGCTACACTTCATTTTCCATATGCACACCAGAGTAATTTCGAGTACATTATTCAATGAAATTAATCGTGAGAAGATCATCTATTTGTTTTTTTTTTTTTTCTTTTCTCGCTCTAGTTTTTCATCGATTGTGGATGAATAGTAAATAGGTATATAGTTTCATAATATCGATCGGATTTTGATTCTTGAGGCCCGAACATGAAAGTATATTGTGTATAAATAGCTTATATCTAACTCGCGATTTTGGCTCGACATTCTTATTTGTCCTTCAGATTAGGATATTCGTGATTCTAATGTTGCCTTCGAAGAATATTTCACTATGATCCACCGTGTAATTTCCGATCGAATTATGGAATAGCTTTGTTGTGATTCTCATAGGATGATTATCATATTTAAACACAATTTCTTACATATTCAAAAGTAGCTTTTTAAAAGTCTTAGGTCTGAAAATGGCACATTATATGTTGGAACACCAACTTTTGACTTAAAGCTTTTGTTTTATAATTTCGTCAAAAGTGAGGTAACATGATAACAAAGTATATAGTATAAATTAATGGGAAATGATACTTATGGAATCATTCTGTCGGGATTTGTAACTGTTAGATCATCACGAAACCGTTGTGGATAGTTGATTTAACAGTTACAAACCCGACGAAATAATTTCGAAACGAGATTGTAAAATCTTCCTAAAGTAATATGAGATTGGAAAATTGGGATCTCTGTATACGTCATGACCGTGTCTAGTTAATTAGTACTTAGTTATTCGTAAAACATAAACTAATTATTAATAATTAATTTAATGACGTATTATCACATCCTAACAACCATGATTAAGTCTTAACCAAGTACAGCCTGAAAATCTCCACGTTCGAATTATAGTCAAACGCGTAGGATAATTGACTAATTGGGTTTAACACTGTTGATTAATCACAAAATTAACAATTGGCTTCTATTAAAAACTGAAAATAATTGAATATTTTATTTTATTATGCATACGTACGTAGTTTAATGGGACAAATTAAGTACCTTCATCAAATACTTAATTAAACTACACTTAATTGGATCAAAAAAATAATTATGTATTCAATATAGACATTATATATATTTGCAAGTGTTTCACGTTACCTTATTGTTATTCCATCTTTTTCTTTTTCCAGAAATTATTTTCCCTTATTTATTTATTTTGGTACAAATTTTTCCTATTTTTTATTTGACTGTATAACAAAGTACGGTCTTTGTAGTTGTTAACCGAACATAGTAAATAATTCAGGAGACTTTTAATTTGAAGAAGTGCATTGACTTAGAAAGTTGACCTAACCTTCAATTTTTTTATAATTATTTTTATTTTTTTCTAATAATATCATGTCCGGTTCCGACCCGGCCTCCATATTTTGCCGGTTGAACGGAAACCTTGGTCATGCGGGTTGGTTCCGATTCTTCATTTTTCTTTTTTGGCCCTGGCAATTTGGGCTTGGCCGGGTCGAGTTACGCACAAAAAAAAAACTACAATTCCAACAGCAAAAATTTCCGTTGGAAATTCCAATGAATATTCCAACAAACTTAATTTTATGTTGGAATAAGTGTTGGATAGTTGAGGAATTCCAACAGATTTTTTCCGTTGGAATAGTTGTAGGAACTTATTTCCATAAGATTTTCCGTTGGACATTTGCTATTCCAACGGCCGTTTTTCCAACGGATTTTTATACGTAGGAATATCTGTTGGAATAGCTATTCCAACGGAAATATAAAAAATTCCAACGGAAAATTTCTGTTGGAATGTAAGAGTTTTTTTTTTGTAGTGACGGGTTGAAAAAGCGGATCATAGTTGATTTAATTTTTTTAAATATAACTCGACGGTTCAATGAACTGTCGGGTCTGGCCGGTCCACTCGAATCGGCCCACGGTACATAAAGAAAGCATTTTGCTGCTTTCTTATGTAAATTGTTAAAAAGAGATTTGAACGAGTTCAGTTCACATGCACCTCAGATTTCTGATTCAATTTTTTCGAACTATTACTATATTCTTGCCTACATATAAATACTTTGTGCTCCATAAATAATGGGATAATTATGATCATAATCATGCTCTTTTTTTTCATAAAATATTAGTTTCACTGTTTCATTGACATATTTTACTCAATTTTTTCCAGATTTATTCTTATTTTCCTATAACTATGTACTCATACATGTGCAATGTGTATTTATTGTAGGACACGTGTGATAAGGATGTTGTCATCGACCCTTCCGAGCCCGAGGATACGACGCCCTTAGACAAAGGAAAAAGGTGTGTGAACAGACGGGACGTGCCTGGGGTCGTAGGAAAGGGACGCGAACGCGCGTGAAATAACGCGCGTAGGGCGAATGCGCGATGCGTGGGCCGGCGGTGCGCATTAACCAACTGACGAGGCGCGCGGGGAAGAAGAACCGAGCAAAGGAAGGTTCGCATGAGAGGATGCGGTGGAGCGACGCTGAGTACACGACAAAAGGTTCGAGCGCGTCGCGAGGGTCGACGAGCGACTGGAAGGGACGCACGGAGGTTAACAAGAGCGAGAGGTACGATTCGCGAGTGAGTACACGAGTAGAGGCCGACGTGCCGTTCAACCGCGGGCAAGGGGATACGCGAGGAAGCAGGCACGCGCCGGGCGCGACGAACGAGCACGCGTCGGGAGTGATAGGCGACGCGTGGGGAGCAGGCGCGGCGATGCCTCGGACGACAAGGAGTAGCACGCAGTTGGGGTGAGGATTCTGGATGGAGTGCGGCGCAAGGAAACACGATTACCTTAGCATATTAGAACTTAGATTTAGATTATGAGATTTGAATAAAGGTAAGTGCCTAATTAGTTATTTGGTAAGTCTTTGACTTTATATATCTAGTTGCCTTAAGAGTTTATTCTATTTCTATGAGTTTAGAGTTCTAGTTAGCATATGATTAAACTTAGTTAACCTCTATAAATACTACTCATTGTTATTCAATTTTATCCTTGAAGAATTAATAAGAAAAATCGTTCGCAAGAGCAAATATCGTGTGATTAGAATTCGTGAGAATTTTTTCATACAAACCGAGTTTAGTAAGGATTAACACCCGAGCTATCTCAAAACCGTGAGAAGATAAGGAGCAATCCGAGTCATCCACACCTATCGCCGAGAAGGAAGCCCTGGCAAAGCGACTTTCGAAGCAAGTCGAGTTGAGCGGATATACCATCTTCATCAACGTGTCATGCCGTTTCATAGCATAATCAACAAATATACATATTTTTCCAACTAAAATGGCATACACTAAAAAACAATACATGTAAGATTATAACATTTCATAACCTAAATATGTTTTTTTATTAAAACAACATGGCATGCCGTCTGTATTGTTGTTTTAATAAAAATGCATACTTATTTTATAAAATGTCATAATTTTGCTTATGTTATTTTTAAAAATATGGCATTTTAGAAAAAAAAAAATAGAAAAATATATGATTATCTAACTATTAAAACGGTCTAAAATCAGCCTTATTGTTTAAGAGATTGTGGTGGATTATTTATGATAATTTTGAAATAAAGATGATAATTAGTGCAATCATATGCCATATTAAGCGTAGACTGCCGCATAATACGTTCCCAGCTACAAAGTCCACAATATCCCATCTGTCACCATTTGTTTTTCAAGTGTTCTTCTGATCCAAACTTCCTTAATATATTGCAATAAAAATATAACATATCATCTTAACCCAATTATATATAAAAATTCAACCAAATTGTCATAAAAATTTAACCTAT